TCACTATTTATTTTGCTACATACTCCTTAAGTCTGACCAGTCCAGCAATTCTTATTCTACAAATAAGAATTCTTACTCAAATAAAATACAAATCATGTAATGCTCACCCTAGACCACCTTGTGGCTATTCTTGTTAATGGAACCCATTTATGCAGAGCGATGCAGCATGTCTTTCTCTCGGGCAAGATTCTTCCGAAACGGTGAGTGCAGGATAACGTGCAACTCAGATACATACGCTACAATTTATAAATAAGCACTGCCTCCCTTTTAGCTTGAAATAAAAATGCATGTGTAGCTTCTTTGCATCACTATTAAAAAATATTTCAATAGGTCAATAAGTAAAGCACTAACAGAGAACCTTACTGTTTCTTAGAATTAGAAGATCTAGACTTTTTTATGTATGAGTGATACAGCATGATATCTGATTCTAAAACTGTTGGCTAAAGCACAACAGAAGTTCCGTAAAATCATTGCTGTGTGCGTGCAGAGTAGACTGTGGCAATCAAGCTCACCCAGCTGCCCAATGTCATATGCCATAAGTAGACAGAAAAGTTTGCAGAACAGCACTGTGACTCCAAATGAAACAGAAACTTCAGCAGGACACCTGAAAAAGGCAGTGAAACAAGATTTCTCGTCATGCTTAAGGGCCTGAAAGCAGTTGTTTGTCTACCTACAGAACTGTGTTGGGAAAGAGAGAGGAGATTAGCTTTTTCCTCCAGTTTTTAGACTATTCATAACTTTAAACTTGTAAGCTTGAAAATCATAATCTGAAAGACTAGCTGATATGTTATTCTTGGGTCCTCCAAGCTCATCGAGGTTTGAAATCCTGTGATTTTAAAAACAGAAATAAGAGGAAAGATACATTTGCTGTGAGGCTGGGATACTTCAAAAGCACACAAAAGCCACATAGCCTTAAAACACATTATTGAGGAGACCTTGCATATTATTCTTTTTCAGACTTTTGTAACAAGCAGAAACCCTTATCAAACCAAATAGATAGAATGCTGAGTGACTCAAAAGAAAAGCTGTTCCAAGAGAGATTTCAATTGTATACTATATACTCATTTTATGCTAAAGAAAGACCATCTAAAAGTTGTACTGATCTGAGGGTATTAGTCATACACAAAGAATATTCCTCGGTAGGATATTTGCATTATTCACACTTTGCTTTCCCCAAAGTGTTATTAGTTAGCTTGACTTGAGTAACTTTTGGTAGTAGAGGCGACAAAGGCTGTAACACAGGATTTCTTCCCCACTCATTGACTTGGCATGAATCTCTTCTAACCTGTCTGGTTCACATTTAGGTCATAAGTTAGGACACCCCTGCCTTTTCTCCCCGTGTGGCCTGAAACACACGCGTGCTCCCATTGCCTAACTCAGTGGGTATCTGAAATGTGGCTGGGGATATCTGCATAAGTGAGCCTTGCTCGTGAGATACACGGGCCTGGTCACGTCATGGGGAGGACGCCACCAGGCTCTGAGAGGTCCTCAGAAAAACGAATGATGCGAAAGAGGCTGTAGCTTCCCCAAAATGTGCATCGTACTTGCATCCTGCTCCCTTATCACATGTGAAGGGAGGGACAGTGGCAGAGAGTGGGCCAAAAGCCAAACTGTTCTGGCAGTAGCACCTTATCATGCAATGAAAAGAAATCCGTAGGGCCTTTTTTATATTGTAGCTGCTATACAGCCATGACCTGATAAAATGGGAATACATAGTACTGGTACATCGTATTAGCATACTCCCACCCTGTTTGCCAAGGTCAGTGAGGAAAATATTTAGACGATATCTGTTCTAAAACCAATACTTGAAGAACTCTCTAATTGCTTTTCTCCAGCCCAGCAGTTCCTCTTTCATCAGAGCTCTGTGTTATCTCCCTTTCAGGTAGTTCCTCAACCACTTTTTAAGTTCTTATATTAATTTCCAGTGCTCACTAATGTTGTATTCTTTCAGGCTGTTTAATCTCATCAATTATATATGTTTAGCGCTCTATATTTATTTCTCTGTTTCCAAGTGATGATAAAAGCTTCTTTGTGTTATGCTAAGTCACAAGACTCTTATGATGCTCAAGCACTTGCATCAAGAGATTTAGCTCAGCTTGACATGACCCTTTAGTAATGGCTAAGTAAAAAACAGCTAGTAAAGTAAACAGCAGAAAAGTAAAAATTACATGTCCCTATTATTCAAACGAAAGGAAATGCACATGACGTAGTAAACCACAGTTGATGAAATGATCTGCTTGCTGCCATGTAGTCAAGATTAAGGCCTGGAAATTCAAAAGCCCAAGGCTCAGACCATTTGAATAACTTTGCAGGTAAACTTGAGTGAACGGAGTTGAATCCCTTCCACCCTTCCGCTGGCGCATGACGCTCTGCTGTATCTGGAGGCACGAAACAGGGCTGGCCCAGGGGGGAGAGGCAGATTCCACGTCCACTTTGTCCGGTGAAACAAACCCATGGCATCTGTGCACGCACAAAATGCGGTGCAAATGACTCCAGTGGTTCTAGGATACCTGAAGGGATTTGGATAGTGCACACCCGGGGAAAAAAACATCTCCTTACAAAGTACGTGCCGCAGGTCAGGATTTCTGCTACTTTTTATATGCTGTTTCAGCAACTATGCTGTAGCTCTGTAAGTGGTCAGCGCTCTACATCTGTGCTACAGAGGAGGATTCACAGCCTCTGTGCAGTTGTTCTTGTAATGAGGATTTGATAGTGTGTATATTATTACTTTCAGTTTTATTCATTCCTTTTGCTTTACAGTTCCAGAGGACTTAATCTGAGCTGGGTGCTGCCCAAACCTTTTACAAAAGATTTGTTTAAAGTCAGTGAAAGCCATTGTTTAAAGCTATACAAAAGCTGCAATTTTGTTCCGAATGAGATGCCCTAACTGTGTGTGTGTTTTACCAGTGCTGTATGAAACAACATTACTTTAGAAAACCATAAAACTTGAAACAGGGGACTAACAAAGGTTAGATTTGGTCAGGTACTCCCAAAAGGCTTGGAGGTGAAGTTCAGATTCATTTCAAATAGTTCTATGACACATATATTGTTTTGCTTGGTGAAAATATATTTGCTGCATATATAAAATATACATGAAATATATATGTAAACAAATATATTACAGACCCCGCTATCTTTTCTTTTGTGTGCTTACTGTAGAGAAATAATCCTTTGTTGCTGGCTTCCTAGCGCTCTTTGCCAGCAGGTCAGACCTTCCAACCTAAAGCAATAGTATGTTTCAACATATTATAGCACAGCACATTGTAACATAAGTCCTACCACCACGAGGGAAAAATTCTGCATTTTTGGAGAAAACTGTTATTTTTCTCTTTGTAGCAAATAGAGTAGAGGTCTTCATGTTTATAAATACAACTGACTTCAGCGTACTGCTGAGAAGCAGAACAGCTGCCATACGGATTTTGAAAATACCACCATTTGATAAGTGTGCAGCAGAGGCACCATGACTTCAACAAAATTAACTTTAATTTTCCCATCAGCAAGAGAAGAGCAAGTTCAAGATTAGTTATGCATTAAACAATCAATTCACAGGGACTAACTGAAGAAGGGAAGACCTTGAAATGGAAGTCACACCAAAAAGGAAGCAGATTAGTCTTCATATTAATGTTTCTGTTCAGTAGCATTCACATTTTTGTCATTCATTTAATAAAGAACTGGAAGTCCCAATCTGAAATTTATGGAATTGAGAATGGCTTTCTGCTAGAAATTAAATGGTAAGAAGACCTCTGTGTACGTACGCCTAGGTGTATAACTATATCTAGCTGTGGTTATAAGGGATGCTATGCCAGCACCTTCTCAGCTTTGACTGCTAGTTGTGCAGCCTGTGCTGAAAATAGTGCTTTGAAGGGCTGGGATTCTTCTGTTTTAGTAAAGAATTTAGAAAAAAGGGAGGCCTTTGAATCAGCGTGCAAGTCACAGGCGAGGTTGGGGCTGGAAATTTGAGAGGAGGAATGTGTAGGAGGATTTTAAGGCTATACAGATGGTGTCTTAGTTCACAGGAAGCAAGATCAGTGCTGACTATGGATTAGCCAAATTGTTCATCATTCAGAGGTGAGTAAAATCTAATACCAGATGCTCTGATTATTATATCTTTCATTCAGGTAAGCAATATTTTGTTTTCCCCAAGACTTATAACCCTTATGTTAACATTATTCAAAAATCTTTTCTAAGGTTTCAACAGCAAAAGCAGATTAGATTTGGTTCCAATTCAGACAATGTAATTTCTGTAGTAGAATGAAGTAGTATTTCTAGAAGTAGTATGTCAACTCTTAAGAATTCTACCAATATTTTGTGCAAAAAGGTAGAAAATTTATTTTTAAAGTGGAGATGTTTTGCATGAAAAATGTGCTTGTACAAAGGAAGTCTTATTATAGATTCTCTACAGAGAAGTTTCCTGAAAAATGTAAATATTTCTCACAGGTTAAACTGTTTTACAAGATCAGATTTATGACCCACTGAGGACACTTGAATCTAATTTTAGATGCTTTGCATTAAGGAGTTCTCCTCGCAGAGAAACTTCAATGGATTTTTAACTCCAAAATATACATGTGATTTAAAAAAAAAAAAACATTGTGGTGTACTCAGTCAAATTGCACTGATTTTTGCTTGACATTTAAAAATGATTTGAATGTAACAGCCACACTCATTTCATAACTATAAAAGGAGAAAACCTCCTCTGGATCTCTCTTAGTCTATAAATGCAATGACTTGTTCTAGAGAAGAAATATTAGCACTCTTCTTATTTCCACAGACATATCTAGTGATGAGATAGAAATACAGTTAACAAGCCTTTCTGAGGTAGAATATTTCTTTACCCAGATTCAGCCATCTAGATAAAAACATTATCTTTTTCCTATCAGCTTCCAGTCTGGTATGAAACAGATAGTTTGTCCTTATTTTTATATAATCACATAGCCATGTAACTGCAAAAAGTGGTTTGCTTTCATTTAGTATCCGAAACTAGAGAACAAGAGACCCTGCTCTGCAGAGAACAGGCATGAGGAGATGCAAGATGATTTTCTGGGACAGATGATAAAACACTAGCCTGATGCAATCCAACACCTCAAAATGATCAAATATTCGTTCAGTGAAGTCTTCCTGACAGAGAAGAAGGAGACTGGCTCTTCCAGCCTCACATTTGCATTGCTTTGGGGAAGGGAATTAGCCAGCTGAAAAGACTGCACCACCTGAGCCCGGTGGAGCTGCACAAAGCATTGGCTGCTTCACCTGGGGGAAATCTTAGAAATGGAGGTGCCCCAGTAGAGGATTTGCAGGCCACACATGGCTTGTCAAGCAATGCTGGTGACTCAGAGGAGGTTAATGTAATAATTTGCATTGCTGAAGAAGATGGAAAGAGGAGACGGACACGAAGATGTACCGATGCAGAGAGTGAGAAGAATTTGCAGCTGGAGGAGCTGGTGAGTAATGCACCAGAGCTGGGAGTTTGGTCTGATGCTGATGCTAACCTTGCTTCTTTTAGGGCTCATCTTAGCGGTTGGCCCCTGCAGCCTGAGCCTGCCACTCGCTCAGCTGAGCAGCTGCAAGGGAGCAGGGAGTACCCTGCTACATGCGGCCTCTGCCTGAGGGACCGCAGTTCCTCTGGGTCCCCGCTGCTGCCCTGGGGACAGCTAGCATCAGTGACTGCAGCAGAGGCAGCAAAGGAGCCATGGGGGCGACAGCCATCAGCTGGAGGCAGGTCCAGAGTGCCACCAGGGTCCTCCCCTGCTATGTTTTCCTCACACAAATGGGTTGCCGGTCGCCCAAGTAAGATACTTTTGTGCTGCCCCCAGCATGGGAGCAGCCTGGGGGATCTGTGGCACTCGTAGGGCACAGCACAGAGACAGCTGTAGCGCTGGTGGGAATCACAGCCTAAAGATGGCACCATGATCTTCTCTACACATTTGAAAGTTAAAGGGCTCCTACTATAGCACGGGGGCTTTTTTTCACATTGAGGGCAACCCTGTGGGCAGAATTTTTCAGACTAACTTCAAACTTGAAGCTTAGCCAACAGAGGCTAAAGCGCTATAAGTGCTGAGCATCTGCTGGCTCCCGCAGGGTAATGAAGTAAAAAGGAGCTACGAAAACTGCCTGAATTGAAGGATAAAGTGGTCAATGGCCAACGGATCTGAAACTACAAAAACGTATGTTTGTAGGGGGGAAATGTTTAACTGTGCGGCACTCTGCAGCTGCAAGGAGCAAAAGATTTTAAAAAAAATAAAAAGTCATATTTCTGCCATATGGCCAGTTCTGACACACTTGATGTGCACAGCAGTTAAATCGAACAAGAAGCTAGCTGAAACCACTGACAAAAATTGAAGGCGTATTTTTACATTTCATATAAAAATAATATCTGTGAAGGAATAGAATAAAACTAATGTGGAACTGCAAAACGCTAGTGATTTAATTTAAGAAAAAAGAAACGAACAGGGATGAATCCCTAAAAAGAGCAGTAGGGCGATCGCAGACCTTGATTTGGTTGGGAACAACAAAAGAACTGGGGGGAAGAGAAAGGCGGTGAGAGAACAACAACTGAAAACCTCAGGCTGACTCTGGACAAAGCAATCTGGCAATCATCGGAAATAATCCAGACCAGAATGAAGTTTCTGAAATGTGGGCACCACTCCAAAGCAGCAAGGATGGTTTAAAAAAAGGAAGGAAGAAAGAAAGAAATCAAAAATATCTAATGCAAATGGAGTTAATTTAGAAAGACAGAGCTCAGAACTGGAGAGCGCTGACAACAGCTCAGGTGGGCACCGGGGACAAAACAATGCCCAGCACCTGTGTAAATGTTGCAAGAAACCTCATTTTATCATTTCAGAAATGTTTGCAGCAGCCTGTAGGATATGTACGAAGTTGGCAAAGGTGATAATAAAACCACAGTCAGATTTTCTATAAAAGCTGAAAGTAAATGGGTTATTAAATGATTTTAAGCTGGACACTGATGTACAAAACGGTGTGTTGCCAGAAATGGTGATTATTAGTATTAATAGAGAAAAGAGGCAGGGGCATGGGTGTTGCACAGGTAATTCGTTCAAAAAGCATACCTGAGACAAAAATTACTCCAAGGAGGAAAAAGTCTATAAGTAGCACACAGTAAAGTTGTTGCCATGAATAATACTTTTGTTTCAGCAAAGGTCCCTTGGAAAAACGAGCTTCCTAAGAAGCATACCTAATCTAGCTGCTCAACCCAGTCACCTGAGAGTGCTACTATGGGCTAATGTCCCCTGGCTATAAAATGAAAATCTTAATACAAAATAAAAGAAGGCGAAGGAGTTAATTGAGGAAGCAGCAGTGGTCAGAAACAACACCAGGAAGAATGATTTCAGTCATCTACAGACGACTCCAAAGGGGGGTATTAGCATAATCCTCTTTTCAGCGGTGTGGAAACTGCTGCTCCGAACTGGAGACCATTGGTCTGTGCGTGAAGCGTGCAAACAGAAACAAAGCGTCATAAATGCTCAGGCGCTCTCTGAATGCTAAAGGTTTTTGTGTCTTTATGGGAGGCAAGCATTTCCCAAAATGGAGCAAAAATCTCAAATTATCGTTGCCAACAGGAGACTGGCAGGCTGACATTCGTTACCCCTCACCGTTCCTTCCCTCCCAGAGAAAATGGAGAACTTTGGTTTTTTTTCCAGCTACACAGGCTGACACGGGTATTTAAATTCAAAGAGAGTAAAACATTCTTTACAGAAGTCGTTCCTAACTTTCCCATTCAGGGACCACTTTTATTTTTCAAAATTCTTCCTAGTCCATGCTGTGTCAGCACTGTAAACGGTTTTAGCTGAAAAAATGAGAAAGTCATCATGGCTCTTGGGAGGTGCCTTGTGGCTTTTAATGGTGATATAGTGGAGAAAAATCCAAAGAGGATAGTAGCTAACTTGTTTAGCAAAACCAAACCAAAACCGAAAGCATGAATTACAATATCCAAAGGTACTGCTTTGGCTGAGATCACAAAGACAACATTATAACTTTCAGCGTAGGCAGCTGGGAAAGCGTGTTCACCGGCTATGTTGCCAGCTGGAGAGGAGAAGGAGGAATGCTTTCATTTTTAAGTGTAATTTGGTTTAATACTAGGATGGTGATTCATAGAGTGTTATGGAAGAATTCGTTAAAAAGGATAAATGAAGGTCATTTCAGATGGGAAAATCTGAGAAGGGCTAAGAATGGGTTTTTTTCTAGCCTTGAATGAGGGATGTTGAATGTTTTTGAACTACAATTAAGCAGGCCAGGTTAAGTGAAAAAGCCCATGTCAGTTCCCCAGGATAAAATGGTCCTCTACAGCAAAGCACGTATAGCTTTATTTACATTGTTTGAAACAATACCTGTAATTTTCAGGATTATTTTTACTTCTGTGCAAAAAGATTTCTGAGGCCAAGACCATACCAGCAGCGGGGGAGAAGGTGGAGCACCACCCACTGTCCGTAGAGCTCGTCAGAGCAACAAGCCAGCTTGCCACCCCAGCAGTGACCACGTTCCCAGCTGTGTATCGTTCTTGCTTCAGCTGACAAATGCTTTGAAACCGGTGAGTAATAAGCAATATCTGATTTCTGTCTGAGAACAGAAAAAAGCCTATTTCACCAGTTCCTGCATATGCCATCAGGCCCTTTCAGGGAGCGCCCGTAGGAACTGAAGGAAACTTTAGCCAATCAAACCGTAATCTGTCGTCGCGTGGAAGCAGGGCACAGACGGGAATCCATTTCTGGGGAGGAACCACAACTGTCCCACTGAGATAAGCCACACGCCGCTCTGGGATAGAGAGATATTATGCGTGAATCTACTCAGGCGACTCATGTTAAGGCGACTGGCGCACCTTGGGATGCATATCCACGCTAGCTCTCAGCCGGGCAGGTTGGAAGCAGCGCAGTGAAGAAGCGGAGACACGGCTTTCAGGGTGTGGGCAGGGGCGCGTGTCACAGCTTGAGCGGGTAACTCGAATCTCCGGCGGGTTTGCCTGAAGGCAATAATCAGGTAATACAACCAGGTAGCTTAAAGCTAGCATGGGCATGCCTCCATGTGCTTCAATCACATCTTCAATTTCAGTATAGGAGTAGGATAAATGGATGGAGGTATAAAGGCATTAAATGAAAGCATCTAGTCAGAGACAAAGAAAATGGTAAGAAAAGCCTGAACAAACAAAAGCAGTAGGGCAGTTGCACGAAGGGATTAGGGTCTGGATGTGGGCAGGATCACAAAGGCTAGTGATTTAAAAGGAAGGGGAAAGCAGAACAAAACGTTTTGAAGGAAAAAAGCTACGGCAAGCTTCAAAAAGTCGTGGTCAAATCAGGCTTCTGCTGTATGAGAGGTTTTTTTTTTTTTTTTTTAAATGTGGAATTGAAGGAAACAAGGGTAGATAACCACACGAGCCCTTAGTAACAAGACTGTGACCAAGCTGTGTGGTGACACAAACTGACTGTGAACTTTCTTCGGACACAATCTCTTCATTTAAAATCCTTTGTCTAGAAGCCTGCAGGCTTCCTCAAAATGAGAAGATTTCTGGGATAGAAATTTTTGGCTTTTCACATTACAAGAATGTCTTCCTTTATCCTAACCCGAAAGACAAGATATATATTCTAGAGCTTTACTGATATGCAATAATGAATAAAAGAATAAAGTGCCCATCTCCAGGTTTTTGCGGTGCTGTTCAGATGAAGAATTCATAGAGGAATACTATCAAATGGAGCAAGGTCAAAAGTCTAAAGCTTTCAGTAATCTCAAAGGA